AGGCAGAAGGATTGCTTGAGCCCAGGAGTTTGAGGTTGCTGTGAGCTAGGCTAATGCCACGGCACTCTAGCCCGGGGAAAAGAGTAAGACTCTGTCTCAAAAAAAAAAAAAAAAAATGAACATTAGGAATATATGATTCAATAATTAATTCAAAATGTTATCTCTATAAAGAGAAAATTGTGATTTCCAAAGTCACCAGCCAGATTAGGGATGTTGGAACTATTTAGTATAGTCAAACTTAAAGTGAAAGCAGTTACAGAAAAATTTTTAATATTTAAAAAAAAGTTTTTGTGGGACTGTGAAATGATACAGCCATTTTGGAAAATAAACCCTGGCAGTTTCTTAGAAATTAAACATGCAGTTACCCTACCACTCAGCAATTGCACTCCTGGGCATTTATCTCAGAGAAGTGAAGACCTATGTTTACATGAAATCTGTACATGAATGTTTATAGCACCTTTATTCATAGTAACCAAAACCAAAAACAATCCAGATGTCCTTCAGCAGGTAAATCATTAAACATACTATGACACATGCATATCACAGAATACTACTCAGCAACTGAAAGGAATGAACTATTGACAGATGCAACAGTCTGGATGAATCTCCAGAGAATTATGTTGAGTGAAAAAGCCAATCCCCAAAGGTTACATATTGTGTGATTATATATCCGTATGGGAGGTTACATATTGTGTGATATTATATATCCGTATGGGAGGTTACATATTGTGTGATATTATATATCCATATAGGAGGTTACATATTGTGTGATTATATACTGGTATGGGGGAAGTAACCAGTGGGCTAACCTAGGGAAAGGGTCCATGGGATCTCTGTATCATTTCTTACAACTGCATGTAAATCTAAAGAGATCTCAAAACAAAAAGGTTAGTTAATAAAAAGAGGTCTAATGCTTTACTAATGATAACAATAAGAGATTAGAAGGTAAGGATTCAAGAGTGAGAAATATTTAAATTCGAGACGTGCTCAGATGAAATGTAAGCATATAACAGTAGACGGGTGCTTAGTTATGATCAAGGTTTTGTGTAACCACAGATTATAAAATCTCTTCTCCCAAGGCTGTGCTATGAATACCTGGTGACAGTCGTAGTTATTTCATCTTCCTCATTCTGTATCAGAACCTTGAAGAGCTGATTCAAGATTATAGGCAGAAAACTCATGATTGCATGAATCTTTTCCACGTTCAGTAAGTTCTGTAGTAAATTGGCAGAAGAAAAAGGATATCAACTAAATTTAACGCATGTCTTAGATTTAAGACTTAAACAGAAGACCTGAAACTGTAAAATTGCTAGAAGAAAATGGAGGCGAAAAGCTCTATGACATTGGTCTGGGCAATGATTTTTTGGATATGACCCCAGAAGCCCAGGCAACAAAAGTGAAAATCAACAAATGGCATTACATCAAACCTAAAAGCTTCTGCACAGCCAAGGAAACAACAGAGTGAAGAGACAACCTATGGGATGGGAGGAAATATCTGTAAACCATATATCTGATGAGGATTTAATATCCAAAATATATAAGGAACTCGAACAATTCAATAGCAAGAAAACAGGCCAAGCATGGTGGCTCACGCCTGTAATCCCATCAAGTTGGGAGGCAGAGGTGGGAGGATTGCTTGAGACCAGGAGTTCGAGACCACCCTGGGCAACATAGTGAGACTGTCTCAAAAAA